TGTGTGGCTGCTTCTCCTCCGAAGAAGGAACCGCCGCTACAGGGCTGGGCAACCACAGCTCTACCAGGGGTATGGGCAGTAAAGAGGGAAATGCATATTCACCCTAATCTTTTTCATTTCCGTCTTACTGGATCAGTGCCATTGCTTACAACGTCTGAGCAAAACAGACACTTAATAAACAAGGCTGATGTGTCAAGGAGTGAGTCACAGAGGTTTTTTGGGGAGGAAATGGGAAACTCGTTTCCTTTTCAGAGAGCAGTCTTTACCGGTAGGAATACGGTGCCCAGATCTACCACCTCCTAAAGCAATCTCTTCTCTGGCCCGATGCACAACTTCAGCCTGTCGGTGCTCTCTGTCAGCACGTGCAACCCCCATCTGTTACCCAAAAAAAACTCCAAAGGAAGCTTCACACCTGGGCCCCGAAACAGTGGTGATGGGCACGCTGCTAGGAGATGCTGTGCAGCCCCTCTCATGTGAGGCTGTGCAGGGGTCCAGCTCCAGCAAACAAAACCACAGCAGATGCTCAAGAGCTCCCAGGGAGCTAGCAACACAAGGAAAGAGCAACAATGCTGCACCAGTTAGGAAAGGGTTCCTTACATACTACCAGTTTCCAAACTGGGATGGGGCTGAGGCCATGGGAGAGAACAGTAGGCAGTTCAGTAGTTCCTTAGCCAGTTCAATAAACTCCCTTACTGAAATAATGCTCTTCCAAAGGAGCTAATTATATCACATTTCCAGTCTGGCAGCGGACACCCAAGTGATAGCGCTTAAAGAAAAGCTGCTAGCACCACGACGGTCTAAGAAAACCAGTAGCACAGGGATGCCACTTAGCAATTCACAAGGGTCAGTGAGTCGCATTGCCTTATTGCAGCACCAAACAGCCCCTTGTCCACACTATTAAAACCCCACTTACGCAGTCCAGTGCCAGTCTCTCTGCCTGGCAGGGCTGGTGCCATGCTTAGCCATTGGACCAAGACAGGTTTAGCGTGTGACAAGGTGTTTCTCTAGGCCACAGGACACAGTATATTATACATCTCTGCTCTCTCACCTCTGTGTCAAAATGTCGAGGCCACCCTCCCACACCAAGTTGCACAAGTTTACTTCCCTTTAAAAATAGGAATAGCAAGCGAAAGGTGAACTGCTGAGCTAAGGAAGGGAGGGGAAGTACCATTGCTGCAATAAAAATACACTTAGTCCCTCACCACAGGGATAAAAAAACGCCATTTGCGGCAATGTCAGTACCAGAGACAAACCTTGTCCCCAAGCCTGGCATGGGCTGCTGGCCACCCACCCTGCCTGCCCATGCCCCATGCACCTGCAACTTGCCCAGCTCGGAGCACCTCTGCAAGCTGGTTTCCCTTTGGCTTACCCGTATTTTGTTTCCACACATCTTTTCTGGATGACCACGGACAAGCAGAGGATCAGCCCGACAGCAATTGTCCCGCAGATAAAGCCCAGGGCTACGATAAAGGAGTCTGTGTTCCCGGAGGCTGGAGTCGAAGAGGGGGCTGAGGTTACCAATCCTAAGAAAATATCCCATTAATGAAGGCAGTGAAAGGGTCAGCCTGCAGCACCCAGTGACTCGGGGAGGATTTCCCAGGGGCTGAAACCAAACTCAGTAGAGCCCAAAGGCTTACACAGGAGAAGAGGGCACAAGGACCAAGGTTGCACAGGGAGAGCAAGTCTCTTCTGGCTACCAAAGCATGCTGAATGCCCCAGATTCTTGGCCAATAGCCTGGCTGATGAGGAAGGCGTCTGAAGGAGGATGGAGTGATGCCTAATGGCCTTGGCCAGGCAAGAAAAGCAGGCCTTGCATGCCTCCCTATCATCCTCCCCTGCACCCACACTGCACAAGCAGGAACAAGCATCTCCTTACCGCTGTCAGGGACGAAGACCTCCACCGGACTGCTGAAAGGTCCCACTCCCCCCTTGGTGACAGCAGCCACACGGATAGAGCAGGTGGCGTTGGTGGCCACCACGGGCAGGATGGCCATGCTGGAGTTCTGCCGGGCTTCAGCGGAGATGTTCTGCTGGAGAGGGGAAGGGAAGAAAAGCCTGGGCTGGGGGAGACTACAGCCCATCCTGCAGCAGTAGGGGAACGTGGAGATTTATTGAGAATTGTCCCCTTGTCAAACTTCTGCGTTGCTTTGCTTCCACAAGCCCAGAGGAAATGCAGCACCAAGCTATTTACAGAGAATAATAGCCCTGCCTGCAAGAGCCGGATGGGATCTGTAAAGGGGCTGAGCAGCGTTTCCCGTTCAAACCTTGTGCCACTGTTGCTCTTTACTTGTCAACAGCAGCAGGACCAGCAACCTCAGCCAGAAAAGAGGCAGGAAAGCAATCTCGCAAGGAAAGAAGTGCATTTTCATAAGCACTGCTGGTAACATGGATTTTGACCCCCAGCCCTCATTGCAGTCAGCCTGGCCAGCGGAGGCTCGCACCCCTCTTCGCTGCCAGCCAGGGATGCCCACAGCCCATGTTGGGCAGCCCCGCAAGCCTCGGCACCTGCAGAGCCTCGGTGCTCACCATCGGCACTCCTCCACAGAGCACCTCCGACCACTTTCAGCCGCAGAGCTCCTGGCTTGATTGTTCAAGTGCCCTGCCACAGAAAGATCTTAGGGCAGATATTTTCTGTCTGTGGTTTTTGTGTCAAGCTAATAATATTTCCAGTTTTAAGGGTGTGTTTCCGTGCCTGCTAATATGGCAAGAGGCAGCCTGCTCTGTGGCACAGACCTTTTTTCCTCAGTAAGAACACAAGTGAGTCTTTCCCTGCAAATTTCCCATAATTTCCTGGTCTTCTTCAGCTGACAAAGTGCTGCTGCTGCTTCTCTCTGCTGACCCCAGCTGCAAAACAGCTGCCCAGCGGTGTCCAAAACATGTGGCAGGCTGCTGCAGCCAGCAGAGCCCAGCTCCTTACCCTGGCTGAACGTCATGTGGCTGAGCAAAAGCAGCAGCCGAGGGGGATTGGTGGGCAAGGAGGAGGAAATTGGAGCTGCTCAGAAAGAACCTGTTTCTGTTTGCAGTCATAAAAAAGCCACAGTGTCCTGGTTTGGGCTAAATCAGAA